TTCATCTAGCCAAAATGCCTCCAGGGCCCATTCCTCAGGTTATGGTCTTTGCAGGAAAGGGGACAGAGTTGCCCACCAGTCTGGGTAAGGAACTTGTTTGCTGAAAAGCAGTTAATCCATTTTTATTCTGCCTTCTAGACGAAAGAAATAAACAAGTAATTTATTGTAGAGAATTTCCCACTGAATTTTTTTAGATTTGGAAAGAATTTTTCTTCCAGTTCTTGTTTAAGTGATTCTGTTACTTGTGGACGCCCTAATGCTTGAGCAGTGTTGAGGGCCCAGTGATCTGTGACCACTCTGAGTGTGCAAGAGCTCCTGCAGGACACTGTTCCTGCACGAGCGTTTGTCATGCAGGGCTGCGGCCGGGAAACAGTCACGTGCTCTCTCCGCGGATGTCCTCTCTGGCTTGGCCAGCCTGCCGCATCCTGCACAGGGCCATGCGCCCAGCAATCCTGTTAGCTCCTAGCCTGGCCCCTTCGTCTTCTTTAATTCATTTTCATTCTCAGGGAAGTTCACCTTCCTCTGGACTGGAGGAACACCTCTCCTAAGGGTGGCTTAACTCTAATGAAACTAAACACTGTCCCTTCTGAGCCTTCTCCTGGAAATCCACTAGCAGCTCATGGAACTTCATCCCTCCAGACAAGAAGAACGTGTCTTATAATCACCCTATAATACAGAAAACTCTTCTACGGCCATGATATTCATTACTAATTTTGTCTCTAAGTTTGACTTTGACCACTAAATGAAAGAAAAATATTTAATTACCCTGGAATAGAAAGGCCAGGAGAGTTGTCAATAATGATAAAAATGGAGAAAAATTGCTTCATGTGAATATTTCTTTCATTTCTACCCAGGTGGGTAGGTTGTGTGTTTGCAGATGATGCTAGAGAAAGTAAAATGAACACTGGACCGGCTCTTATTTCATTAATTAATTCAACAAACATTGAATATCATCTATGTCCCAAGACTTTTATGGGTGCTGAGAAGATAAATAAAGAAGAAATCATTCCTAACTCTCAAACTAGTGAGAAAGAAACAGAAGTAAAGAACTTTCCCTAAAAATTGGCCAAAGTGAGTTATTAAATAGATTTAAAATCCAAGGGCAATGGATTTATAAAGGAGGGGGCAGCTCACTGTGTCCGGGGCGATCTGAAAAAGCGCCACAGAGACGCTGGAGGCAGTTGGACCAGCCCGTACAGAGTAGCTGGGCGTCTGCTGAGTAGTGAAGAAGGTTGAAGAGCATTCGCAGAAGAGGACATGGCAGGCGCCCAAAACGGAAGTACAGGCACGTGGCACGTTCTTGGAATTATAATGGAAATGGTAGATTGGGCTGGTTTGGAATCAGACAGCCCTAAGTTCTGTCCTCAATCTGCCGGGTCATAGCACAGGACTCTGAGCTTTGCTTCCTGTGAGTGGGAAGCTGGAATCATAGTCATACTCCAGGCAGCTAGGAGAAGGAAATGCACGAACAGAGTGGCGAACGGCGAGCACACGCCATCTAGGCTTGCTGGTGCAGCAGCACTAGCGTGCAGAGCCGGTGGGCTGCAGGGGGACTCATCTCTGACGGTAGGTCAGAGCCCTGTTGAGAAGGGCAGTCTGTAGCAGCCTAAGAAGAGTGGACGTTGCAGGATAGGGACTGGGGAGACGGCAGCACTTTCCAAAGGGGGAATGACCTATAGTGTTCTCAGTGTCTGAAAGAGTTAACACCACCTGCAACATGGAAGATGCCAAGTAGGGGAAGAGACTGGAGTCAGGCAGAGCATTGGCAGCTCTTGCAATTGTCCATGTAATAAAAGTCAAAAGCTCTAAATTTTTCAAACTTTCCATATAAAAGTAATACATACATAGGGTAGAAACTGGAAAAATAGAAAAGAGAAAAGGGGAAAAATCAGCTAGGGTGCTGCTGGCTACAACGCACAAACACTGCCGTGTATTTGGTTCACAGTTTCTGTTTGGATTTTTGTCTATCTGTCTGCTCTTCATGACTCCACTCATACTGAAACACATTTGCATACAGAGTCCTACCTATAAAATACCCTAAGAGTATATCTTGTGCCTGTTTCTATGTTGGCATACATTTCTCTTAATCCTCATTTAAAAATATTAAATAGTTATTATGAATCTGTAATGAACTTTTCGTATCTTAAGTGTTTTCCATATTTAACAGCTTTTCTTTAGGATGGATTCCAAGAGGTGAGATTAACTAATGAAATTATACTTACATTTGAGAAATTTTGGATAAATTTTCATGATGACCATTAATATAAAGAAATGCCATACTTTGATTGATAATAAATAAATAATTATTATTAATTTAAAATATTACTTTAATTAAAAATTACATCACATTTATTTTTTTCAGGAACAAAATAGTTTTAGTTTACATTTTTCAGGAACATTTTCTCATATCCCCTCTTGAATATCTCTGAATGTTATTTGAATAATACTAAATACTGATGATTTGTTCCTGTTATTTTATTGAGACATACAGTATTGGTGTCTTCCAGTTCAGATGTTATGCCTATAACCTATCCAGCCATTCATTTTTCTCATTTATTGATCTTATTCATTTGCTCAGTAGTTTTGCGAGTCTACTATTAGGCAGGCAACCTTGAATCCTACATTAATTAGCTCACCCTGGCTTCTGCTAGGCTAGCACATTGCTTCCAGGGAAACAGGAATTTAAAAATAATTATGTGTTCATGTGTCAGTATATATAGGAAGAGATGGTCTAATCCAAATTACTCTTGCAATTTTCACTCCTGTGCTTTTTTCTTTAAAAAAACCCTCCCTTCTTCTAAGTTATAGATTGGAAAAATGTACATTTATTTAAAAATGATGACTTAGCAAGCTCTGGTCTGTAAGTATTGGGGGAAAAAGTAATATTAGTTACCTCCCTTTAAGACTGATGAAACTAAAAACTAGCCAACATTATGACAAGCGAATATCTTTCAGAGAGAGACTAAACTGTCACCTCACTTCTTAATGTTGTTTTGTCTTTGATGAATAAATCCACAATGTTCTCTCTGTCTCTGTTTCCGTCTCTCTATTTCTCTATGTTTTCTTTCTGTCTCTCACATACTCTGTCTCTTTTCCTATTAATATCTCTGTCTGTCTGTCTGTCTGTCTCTCCTTATCTCCTTCAGCCTAACTTCAGTATCTAATGCAATAGGACAGAGGTGGGACAAGGTGATCCCTGGATGCCCTTTGTGGAGGGGCAGGTCAGCTTGCGGCTTTGGCATCAGGAGTCACGTAGGTGCAGGATGGGTGGCGGGGAGGGGGCTAACTTGCAGGCTGAGGCTTTTCTAACTAGTAATGGTGAAGCATGAGCCTCTCTCCCAATCAAAACTCTGCCCCGCCCTGTCATTGCCTTAATATTTAACTGCATGTACAATACTACCCATGCAGCACAAAGCCCAGGGTAGGCTAATGTTCACAGGAGCAAATAATTATCCAAATTAATTAACTTATTTTCTTTTCATATGAACATCCATGCTCAAGGCTAATTGCTCACTTAATTAAAGCCTTCAGCTTTAATCGGGATTACTTTATATGTAATTCACACATATTTAAGATATATCAACTGCTTTCATTGTTATGTGCCTGCAGTGAAGACGGAGCCATGTAATAAACTTTAACTTAACAGACAGAATTATAAATAGGAACTCAGTAAAATAACTCTCAATAGCTTTCTTCAATGAGTTGTATTAGCTTTGAGATATTTTATACTGGATGGTGAATTCAGAGATTTTTTTGTTGCTATCATTTTTCTCCCATTTTGTTCCCAAGACTCCACTTTCTGGTTTCTGTTTCTTTTCAAATAAACATTTTTGAGAGGTTCATCTGTGGATGCTCATATATTCTTTCAGAACTAAGCACGAAACAGGATTGCGTGAGCTGTATTTAACTGTCGCATATTCCAGGGGTATGGGGACTGGTGAGGGTTTGCATGGGGACTCGCTGGCAGGGCTGACCGTAGGTGACCGGGGCTGGGAGTGGCTGAGGTGGCAGCAGTGCTGAGGGCCAGGACACTGTCACTGCAGTCCAGGGTGTCTGGTTGGTGAGCATGGCTGTCTTTAGTGATCACCTTACATTATTCCAAAATATTTGTAGCAAAATTTGCAAGAGATTAAAAACACAGATGACCTGGACTAAAGAAACAAGATGAATTAATGTCTCAAATAACAAAAGAGTGTATGGGTAAAGCTAACTTCATACAGGGCTGGGCCCAAATCATGTCACTGAGAGGCAATTTCTTGGCATCCCTTGGCTCTGTTAGCCCCAGTGTTGGCTCCATTTTTCTGGCTTCATGCAGTGACAAAATGTCTACGTTCAAATCCCACAGAGAAAGGAGTAACAGTCTCATTTGTCCTGTGTGGGTCCCAGTGACTCAGTGCTTCCTTTCTCTGGAGATATGGTATTGGTTGACAAGTCAGGAATTGCCCTCTTTGACCTCTTGTTGACGTAATGGCTGCCAAGTCACTATGTTCATCATGAGAGAAAGGCCCTCAACTCACTGGCCTCAGAGCCAGTGCTGAGTCCCATTTCCTTAAGCTGCCCCTTTGGCTCCTCGGTGGACCGAGCTAAGACATCTGCATCACCCGAAGTGAACTCTCTGCAACTCCAAATATCTATCATTATCAAGGAACAGAATAAAAATATGTGGCGATGTCACCTATGGCCCTAGTTTCACAGATGGGCCCTACTACATGTGAAGCCTTCCTGCATCAACTGACGGGTTCCCGCCTTAGGCGTTTCTGGAGTGGTGTGGACAGGCAAGGGAAACCTGGACTTCTACCTTTGCACAAAGGTAGAGTATGAGAAAACAGAGAAACTTAAAAGTGAACTTTTAACTCATAGACCCAGAAATCTGATGCCCTTCAACATGAACTGAATTTCCCCCCAAATATTGTCTATTAAAAATTATTTTATATGTGCAGAATGTGTTACATACTGACTAGCAGATTCTTCAGTCATCTTCAAAAACAAAACAGTAGCAATATTTGTCTTAATCATTTTAAATGTTGAAATAGTCAGATGATCACAAATTCCATCTCTAAATGCCTAAGAGGTGACGCCATGAGCCGCCTGCCCCACTGCTGCTCACAGGAGCAGATCACAGTCACTGTTGCCCGAATGCACGAGGAACAAACGCTTTTCAGTCTACAATTGCTGCTTGATTCTCAATGAGGAAGAGCTTAGAGTTCTTCTTTTAAATGTGCTGATAGCTTCCTAGAAAAGAGGCACATTAGAAATGTGACTCAGTGTGTCAAACATAAAGAAACGTGTGTGCTTTCAGCCGTGCAAATGCCAGTAGTGAAGACAACGCAGACTAGAGTAAGATTCAAGATCTCAAGATAATTTCACAGGACTTAAACGGCTGGTTTCTTCACATCCCCATCCCGCCTATACACAAAAATGTGAACTCATTTGCTCCTCCACCAAGCAGCCTGTGCAACCCCTCCGTGTGGCCTGGAGGAAGGAAGAGGATCCAAGTCCCGCAGACAGGCTTTGCGTTAGTCGCACTCTGTCACGTCCTCGCCGTTTGACTGCGGGGCTTCAGTCCCTCATTTGAGGAGCGGTGGAGCAGGGTGGATGTGGAGAACAACATGAGCAGCATCTGGAGTACAGGGGACTCCCACGCCCCTTTAAAAATATAGCTTGATTAAAAAAAAAAAACCTGTAATAAAAACAGTCTGAAGAAACACAAATCCTTCAGTTCTCTTTCCTTACCTTTTTACCTTCTTGCCACTCCCCATTGTTTGTTCTCTCTCGTCCCATCTCTGGATGTCTTTACATGTTTACGTTGCTTATTATTCTCTTTTGTGTCAGGGGAAAGTGGACGATTCAAAACACTTCTGGAGGAAGTTGCTGGAGCTCCGAACTGCCGGGGGCTCACGCCGCAGAGGGCTGGCGCAGGCTCCGCGCCGCAGTCCGCAGAGAAGAGACTGGAAAGAGCATGCCACCTAGATCTCTCTCAGGGTGAACAGGCGGGCCATTGACCCCAGCCCCCCCCCCCCCCCCAGCTAACCTATTCTCTGAAGCCACTGGCCTCCTCTGTTGGTCTTTATGCTCGTGCAGTGCCCGGTGATGCTGCCGGTGATGGATGTGCTGCTACTTACAGCCATGCCCTGTGAACACCTGAAATGAGGAAGTATCAGTTATCAAAGCAAATTAATTATTGATATTTATAGTTTTCTTGTCTGAAGGCTTTTCTGAATCGCAGCTGCCCAGGGCTGCAGCCTGCACTGTCTCTGCCTGTGGTTACTCAGCGAGTGGGGACGCGGCGCAGCCATCGCTGGGCAGTACCTGGCGCACCCTGCCCTGCGCCTTGGGAGAGGCAAGTGGAGCCCGCCCTCGGTGCCACCTGTGCCACGGGCCAGGGTGGGGAGAGCAGGCAGGACAACAACAGCATCTCCCAGACCGCCCGGCGCTCTGCTCCTTGCAGGGGAAGGCCAGGGTGTCCCAGCACCCCCCACCACGAGTGCCTCCGGAATCCCAAGTTCAGTGCATTAAGTTCTAAACTTTGAGGGAGGGCTCGCGTGGGAGGAAGCAGCTTTGCTGTGGGCTTGACGGGACAGTTCTCAGAAGCGTGTGGCTTCTGTGGGACTGGGTGCAATGTCATAAGCACGAGGGCCTGGAGCATTTCCGAGAAGATGAGGAAGGGATGTGGCAGCTTCAGAGTAATAAGGGAATCCAGGGTTTGTGCAATGGACGTTTCTGTGTTTTTGTTGCTTGCTTTTTGTTTCATTTTTACTTTGGAAGTTAGTTGTTTTACCTCAACAGGGTTTTGTTCTTGAAGACATACACATTCACGGACTAAAAATGAAAAACAAAATACTACAGACAAGCAGAAATGCCCACCCTGGGCTTGATCCCAGTACCTAGAGATAAACATTCTGCTCCTTTTCTTTCTGTTTATTCATACATCTGGAGATATTCGTATGCATTGTGACAAACTTTATTGTTTCCTTTTTGCACTGAACAATATAATCCTGGAGCTTATATGTGTCTTTACGTATTTTCTACCATGTAATTTTGAATGGCTGGGGAGCAAGTATCAATAGTTTATTTATTTATGTCATCACTGCTGGACATACAGGCTTATGCCAATTTTTCTGTTACGAGCAACCCTTGAATAGACATATTTAAAACTCTGTGAAATTAGTCTCTGGTTATATCTTTAAGTAAAATTTTGTGATAAAAGGAAATTGCTGAGTTTTTAGTATGCCTACTTTTAATGTTTTAATATAGGTTGCCAAATCTATCTCCTAAATGTTAGAACATTGAGTCTAATTTCTTTTTTAAATAACATTAAAAAATAAAAATTTTTGGTTGATTTTCAATCAGAAAATTGCTTTCATAAAACTTTAATGTCTATGAAATAAGACCATTCACATACAATTTACCATAGAAATGACAGCAACAATAGCAAATATAAATTAAAGAAAAAGAAAATGAAATAAAGAAAAGGAAAGATGAGAAGACCAAACCCTGCACTGTGAAGGTAAGGCTCATCACCCGGGGAGCTAATAACCCACGGCGATATGAAGACTCTGACTTGCCAAACAATATCTTTTTCTCCTCCCTAAATCTCTGCACTCTCATGCCTCTCTGTTAGCCTTTTTTATATTTCGGGGGGGGGGGTATAGTTTGACATTGGTTGTATACTCTTTCATAACTAGGTCACAAATTCCTAGATAACAGGCCATGGCTATTTTCGCCTTTATTTTGTGTAAATACTTAGCAGAACACTCGTGTGTTGAAGGTACTAAAGCGCTTGTTGAATGAGTAGATGCTTTATTATGTTGATTCAGACTGTTCTTCAAAATGTTGATTTCAGTGTTTGTTGAAGACTTTTGCATAGAGATTGATGTCTTTGGACATTCCTGGTGTGGATATGAACACCTGCAGGCGTGTGTTGCAAGCCATTTGCACAAAACCATTTCTAGAAGAAGAAACACATATGTGACCCCACCGAAGGAAACCCTAAGCTGTTTTCTTGAGGCTCAGTTAGTTAGTCCCACTTCAAGTTAGGTGTTGAGGAAGTGAGAACAGTTAGTTATTCTTTTCGCAGTTGAATTTCAGGTTAATGTGTCATTTGGCTGTATTTAGAAAGCTTCCTTCCATCCCTTCCTTTTCCTTTTTGGAGTCTACGATATTTGGAGAATGGTGACAAATATTTCTTATTTGTCCTGGTTGGTTGTCAACATGCAAACACAAACTTTGTTTCTTTCTAATGGTTGTAAATACTTGAAAAGAAACACATGAAAAGAATAAATAAAGTCCAAGCTCTTATGCACTTCCCTTAAATTAGAATGTTTGCCTCTGAGAACTGAGTGACACAAACGAAAAAACTCTAGAAAAATATCGATATTTCTTAACATATTATGGGTGAGCACTTTTAAGAATATGATCTATGATAATTTGTTATGGAAAAATATGGCAGTCTGTGCAGAATGAAGTAGGTTTTAGACAAATGAATAAAATATATTTTAGATTAGGTCTGTTGTAGATACAGCCCTTATTTAAGAAAATTGTCAGAATTTATTTTAAAAATTGTGTGGTTAAATGATTTTTGTGATTTTTGAAAACTATATTGAAGTTTTGACAAGCTTTTGGCCGGTTCTCCTGGTTCTCCATCTGGGTCGGTGATGATTTCTTCCTTTGGCTTTCTTCGTCTCAGATCTCACTGTCTTCCCCGGACCCCTCGGTTGGGAGAGAGAAAAAAGCACTTTGTTTTGTGCTGTCAAACACACTGTGAAAGCAAGCTTTCAATCTCCCTACGAGTGTAATTACAGACTTCAATACCCTTAAAATACATTTCTTCACATCCTCTGGATAAGTGTAGTTGAGTTCTTTTTAGCCTGTTTGGGGTCATGATGTATTCTAGTTAATAAAACAATCTGGTTTACTGAACACCCTTTTCTAAATGCTTAGCGTGTGTGTCAATTACTGTGTAAAGAGCTATAGCACATTATTTCACTTAATCTTTATAACAACCCTTGGAGGCGGTCAGTGTTATAAAAATTCTTCTCAGAAGGGGAAACTGAGTCTCAGAACAAATTAAGTGCATAGCTGTGATTTTTGCCTAACTTACACAAATTTTTGAGTTTTTTCACTTATAAAACCAGGACGACGATAATGCCTCCTGAGAAAGTCGGTGTGCTGTTTGGGGCCAACAATGGGTGAGGAGCATCCGGCAGCGCGCTGACGGGCGGATGTCAAGTGCTGAGTCAGGTCGCAGCGATTGCTTGTGACATAGTAATTCCTGATGTTTTTCCCAAAGAACAGCAATATGCATCCATCTCAGATTCTGCCGACCATATTTACCCTATTGGGGAATGTCCCAGAGGGAAGTTTCATCGCGTGCCACCGGCTCACGGCCAGTCCATGGGCCCCAGTGACAGCATGCTTTGCTGTAGCAGTTCTAGATTTTGTTTCAGGGAACTAAGACAAAGAAAGTGGTGATACCGCCAATCCTGGGAATATTGTAGAGTTTAGTATTTCATTCAACAAGCATAATTTAGGGGTGATTTTACTGGAAGGTGGAATAGAATCAATGATTTAAGGTATAAACTTGATGTCTGACTTAGGTCCGACATGCCTATCCTTTGATTCAGGGTGATTTTGCATTGTGAATAATCAGGATTTTACAGTTAGTCTCCTGTGATCTCTTTCTGTTAGATAAAGCATGTGCTCTTTCTTCAGTCCTGTGGATTGGCCTACCGTTTAGTAACACTGTCAAAACTTAGTGATTTGTCAAGCACTTTTTATTCAGGCTGGTACATAAGTGCCAAGAGGGTTTAGATTCTCTGAGCATTTTCACCACCTTTTAACAAAGAATGAAGTGCTTTAACCGTGATAATATTTAAGCTCTGCAATTTTGTAGACTGCTACAATAGAGAAATAGCGACATAGCCTGATTGTCTTGCCAGAGCTCAGCTGTTTCCTCACCTCGGATGCATGCCGAGGTTTGCGAGGTGGAGTACAGCTAGGTGGCCCAAACCGTGTGATTCTATGAATATTGAATACAAAAATAGCATCCATTAGGAAGTCTGGAGCGCTAACTAGCTCTGCAACGTTTCTGGCCCAGAGATAAGTGGTGCGAGAGGAATGTAATCTTGAATATCCTATCACCTGGGGAATGTGGACACCAACTGAGAAAAGTTGCTCATTGGTGGTCCTGTGTTCTTCATGGGTGGGTGCCTCTTGCCTCAAGGGGGCTTCTCCACTGTTTTCGTGTATGGAGACCCCATTGTGTGATCTCACACAACGAGTCTTGGATTCCCATAACCAGGTCCTCACTTGGAATGCAGGATATTTGAGATCGATAGGCAGTTCTGGGGTTACCCAGCCTTCAAAATCTGCCTCACCCACTGTTGCCTGGCACCAGGAATTCGGCTGGGGCACTCAGTTAACTTTCCTCGACTACATTAGAAAATGAGGCTTCGCTGTACAAGCCTGCTTATTTATAAAAATGTCCAGTAAACACTATTATCATTTGATACAGAGATCGGCTATAATTTCCTCACAGCTTTTTAACTTAATATTTACATATAATAGACCTTAATTTTTACCTGCTGAAAACCAAAATAAATAAAATGTCTATGCCTTCAATAACTGTTGATATTTGGGTCAGTGTGCTAAACTATTTATTTTTTAAATCACATATTTTAAATCACTCTAGCGTCTACTTTTTGTGCTCATCTATTTGAATCATGCTTAGAAACTTGGGTTGTGTTCTTGCCACTAAACATTTACAGGTTTTTAAGTATTTGACAAATCAAGGTATTTCTACATTAAATTGTTAGAACAAACACATTTTAACTTTTTTCATATAATCACCTCATTTTCTCTTGTATTTAGAATTCTTAGCATTGAATCTCAAGGTCTGATTTTTTTTAAGAAAAAAATATTGGTGTTCTTCCCTAGGTCTTATTTCAGAGTGTATTCAAAAATTTTTAGCAG